TACTACCATATTACTATACTACTAATAATAATAATAATAAAAATAAATTTTAATAAAAAGAACAATTATCACACTAAAGGAAAGTATCAAAACATTTAAATAAAAATTTTAATAAATAAATAATTTTTTTTATTTTACTACTACCACTATTATTACTACCACAACTAATATCAATAATAATAATAATTTTAAATAATATATCAACATCTTACTTAAAGAATATAATCTGATTAAAAGTGTCTATCATTTTCATAATAATTTTACTAATATGTGGAAATAAATATTGTGACTAAAGTAATTATTAAATTACTTGTAATTTTTTTTTCTCTCTTTCTATTTTTACAAAAATTATTAAAAGAAAATAAAAGAAAAGAAAAAAAAAGGTTTAAACACATCTAAGTAAGGAAAGAAAAAAAGGATATGGATGGATGGATGGATGAGTTTGACAAAATGAAAACGCGGATAAAATACGATATTAATATGCACATTAATTCAGTACGTTTCATCGTCAATAATTTATAAGTTGCTAAGCTATTAATTACAAGTTGCTTACTAATTTATTCGCGATAGCTTCCTTGACTTGTAAGGGAATAGCTATTCTAGTTAGACACGCACGTTTATTAGTAGGACGAACGAGTTTTAAATATTATTATTAAACAATTTTTATCTTTTATTCTTTTATTTATTCATTTTTATAAACGTGAATAATAAATAATATTTTAATATTATTATTATGTTATCACGTGTCTCTCTCTCTCTCTCTCTCTCTCTCTCTCTCTCTCTCTCTCTCTCTCTCTCTCTCTCTCTTTTTAGTATATAATATTTATAAACACACACACGAGAGAATTTTTATTCTTATTACTTTTATTTTACTTATAATTTTACCAATCAATCATATTCTACGTATTAATTGTTATTACTCGTTGAAGATAAATTAAAGAAATAAAAAATGGGTGTACAATTCTTTATAAAAAAAAAAACAAAAAAATAGAAAATGGTAATATATCATATATTATATAAACTATACATATATATACTCAAATATATTTACAATTTGATAAAAATAAATACAACAGTGTTCGAGTAGTTTTATTAATATTATTTTTTACTTATAATTTTATCAACCTATTCATATTCTTTATATAATTATTCGTTGAGAAGTTTAATTAAAAGAAAATAGTAATAATTTATCTATAATTTGCAATACATAATATATATTATATAAATTATAAATAATTAATGAACAAATATAATCAAATACAATTTAATTAAAATTAAATACACGAATGATCGTATAAATCATACCGGTTAAGGTAAATAACGTTCGATATTTTTATGCAGAAATTCAAAGACCTGCTTATATGTCCTGTGTATATGTCTGTGTGTATATGCATTAGAAAGAGAAAGAAAGAGATATAGAATGTGCCGTCCTTGTGACGTCACATCCTGTCGTGCCTTCGTACCTGCTCACATTACAATAGCCACAAAGTGCATCGAGATCTCGATGTACTCATATGTACTGTATTTATTTATATATGTATGTGTTTGTGTATGTATCTATATGTGGTGTGTGTATGTTACAACGAGTGATATGTATGATCTGAACGTGTAAATATACATACATATATGTATCTGTGTGTGTATGTGTATGTATGTATGTTTTGAACGTGTAAATACATATGTATATATATATGTATGTGTTTACGTGTGCGTATGTGTGTATGTAAGAGAGTATAAACGACGCAATCCAGACGTGTTCCTGAAATCTAAGCTTACCTTCATAAATATCGATTCTCCGATAAGTCGATTTCCACTTTTAAGACGAGAACTTCTCGATTATTATTTACCTATAATCTCACATAGATTTTTTATTTATTTACTTTCTTTGTTTTGTTCTTTTTATATTTATTTTTCTCTCTTCTTATTTTACATCAGAGGATGGGATGATACTCAAGCGTTAGGATTCGAGATACAATGGATGGTATTTTTAAATGTTTGCGCATATTGTTTTATTAGAAAAGTAATTGTGTGTGTGTGTGTGTGTGTGTGCTTGTAATATTCATTTATTAATTATGTAAAAAGATTGATTATTATTATATTGTATATTTTCTTTTTATATTTTGTGTTCTTTTATACTTCGAGTTAAATTGGAAA